CACGGTCCGCAGTAGGAGAAACTACATTTTGTCCGTGGTTTGCAACGATGGATGAACCCGCAGTCACATGGATTTTTTGGAGCCTGGAGCTCCCCCCCCCTTTCACTTTGAAAAACTTTTCTACAGGCTTTTAGCAAGCTATCTTAATTGATGTATGTATTGAATGAGATGTACGTCATTAGGCAAACAATACAAAAACGTATATAGTTTGAAGTACATGTATACTAAATGTCTACATAAAAAATATTTCATTAAGAAACGGAAACGTTACTATGCTCTATAAAATATTCCTGAAAGTGTGTCACGTAAATTCATCTTAAAAAGTAATTAAGTACGATTAATAATTTTTTTTCCTAATAAAATTTAATATATGAATGTTGTTTCATGTATACAGTCATGTAGTTTATTCAACAGAGGATTGAACTCAATATATAGCCCTCATCTTAAAACCATTTTAGGATATAATGATACTTCTTAATTGACTTTCTACAGCTTGAGTATTTCTGACGTTTTGTCAGTATATACTTGTTCAAGATTGTGTTTAAAGTAGCATATACATGTAGGCCCAATGAACCGGGTGTTAATTGTTATTTAAGGATAAATAACACAAACTTTTCTCAGAAATCAGCAATATTTCACATCGATTTACATTTAAATTGGTAACCTGAATAATGTTTACCGAGTAATATGGGAGAATTTTATAAGATTTTGTCATATTGTCAAAAATTTGTGCAAAACAAAGTTCCATATCTAAGCACCAAGGAAATCCTACGATTTCTGTATCTTTATATTTCAGAGATTTGTTATTTATGTCATTTCAAATCAAAATCAGTTAAAAAATATATATCAATCCATGCATCAATTTTTTGCTTGTGTTAAGTACCCTTAATATAGTTTGTAAATATAAAACTATGTACACATGTCACTATAAATAAATTACTAAATCACTTTCACGTGTTGGTTTAGTTGTAATACAAGGTCATGTTACTATCTTTAGACAATGGCAGAAGAAATTTGATCTGATTTTAACCGTGACCTTTGATTTCATTTTAATGAATATATACGAGGGCTGTTCAATAAATAATGTCCTCGGTGCTCGGAAAGCAACAAAAACCCTATTTAAGGATTTAGCCTTAATGATTTCACTAAAATATTCTCTTTTGGTTGAAACACGTGTCCGTAATATTTCTCTACAATTTCTGATTGTTTTTAAAACACATTTTTGAGTATGGACTTTATGAGTATGGACTTTATGAATTTATGAGTATTCTTAAACTGGAATATGGCAGATCCTATGATTTCCTTGACTTGCATCTTCTTTCTGAAAGGTGTTGTTTTTTTCAAGTTTGGAAAATGAAACAAGTGAAAGGGTGAAAGATCTGGTGAATATTGTTGATGTGACAAAACATTAACTTTCTGTTTATCCCAAAACTACTTTACTCTTCACAGCGTGTGGGTGTTGACATTGACATGAAGAAGTTAATGCAGTGGATTTCTGATTCTGTTTCCATCCTCTCATAAACCTTTAATTTCTTTGCAAAAAAATGATTTCTAGACTTCTCCAGGAACTGAACTGCCTCCCCGACTAAGATTTTGAACAACAAGACTACTAATATTTAAGAAAATGACATTCATGTATAAAATTTTTCTGTACCTCTGTACTTGCATTTTTTTGCTTTTTTCAGACCTTGGCTGTTTTTGTGAAGCTCGTCTTATTGTAAATTTGTTTTGAGGGTTTAAAGCAATGAATTCAAATTTCACTATCTGTTTGAATTTCAGACAGACGTGGAAAACTTCAATTTTCGATTTTTAAAAATAAATGTAATTGTTTAGAAATTCTTACACACATTTTCAGGCATTTTTCAAAACGTAGAGTGACCATTGAGTACTTAGTTTTTTTTTACTGTCAAATGTTTCTTTAAGACTACCCCTAAAATAATGCCTATCAATTTTGCTATGTGTCTTAATATCAATCAAACATTCACAGTGATTATGTTGAAATTTAACAAACAGTACACTGGTTGTTAAAAGTCGACGGTTCCCATTTTTAATGGCCATTATATCATTTTTGTTCATTGAAATCCACCTGTTCATGTGTGTATAAAACAGACAGTTGCTGTAAATTTCAGTGAATATTTCTTTGGGATTGTCAACGAGTTTTACAGCAGCTTTCATGAAGCGTTTGATTCACTCTTGTTCACTGATTCTTTGCCGTTCTTTTTTGTCCCCCGCTTTCGCAAAAGCGAGGGGACATTAAATCTCATTCGTCTGTCTGTCAGTCAGTCTGCCTGTCTGTCCGTCCGTATGAATTTCATATTTCACATATGTATTCCTTGTGACTAGACCTTTCCTTGGGTACCACCAAATTTGATCTTTTGACCTTGACCTTGGAGTTTGACCCACTTTTACACAAAAATTTTAAATTGTTACTTTGGCCATAACTTTTGAGCAGTAGATACTAGGGCTTTCATATTTCACAAATATATTTTTTGTGGCAAGATCTTTCATTGGATATTAACAACTTTGACCTTTTGACCTCGGCCTTGGAGATTTCCGTACTTAGGAAAAAACTTTGACCTTGGCCATAACTTTTAAACGGTAAGGGCTAGGGCTTTCATACTTCACATAAGTAATCATTGTGAGAAGTCCTTTCATGGGATAACAACAACTTTGACCTTCTGACCTTGACCTTGGCCCATTTTCAAAAAAAAACTTTAACCCTGGCCGTAACTTTTGATTGATTGATTGATTGTATATTGTTTAACGTCCCTCTCGAGAATTTTTCACTCATATGGAGACGTCACCGTATGCCGGTGAAGGGCTTCAAATTTTGACCTTTACTCGGCACTCAGGGCCATTGAGCAGTGAGGGATCTTTATCGTGCCAACGCCTGCCGCTGACACGGGGCCTCGGTTTTTAATGTCTCATCCGAGGGACCCAAAGCCTTCATTTCAAGGAGCCGAGCGCATGGAAAAGGAACAGTTGCTACCAATTTTATCGACTGGGTCAGTCGCGGCCGAGATACGAACTCACGACCTCCCGATCACGGAGCGAGCGCTCTACCGACTGAGCTACCATCCGTAATTTTTGAAGGGTCAGGGCTAGGGCTTTCATACTTCAAATATCAAATCCTTGTGTCAATTCCTTTCATTGGATATCAAGCATTTACACCCTTTGACCTTGACCTTGGAGTTTGACCTACATCTTAAGAACTTTAACCTTGGCCATAATTTTTGAATGGTAAGGGCTACGGCTTACATACTTTACACAAGTAATCCTTGTCAGAAGACCTTTCATTGGATACCAAGAACTTTGACCCTTTGACCTTAACCTTGGAGTTTGACCTACTTTTTAGAATTTGGGTACCAATATATTAAATTTGCATTTAAGAAAAGTTTAATCTTCGCTTTGTTGCCATACGGGGTCATAAGTGTTTCACAAATGCATTTTGTTCCTTTTAACTTTTAATTGAGAAGAGATAGGGCTTTCATATTCCTTGGCCTTCACAATTGACCTTATTTTTAGCTCTACTGGACAGAGACCATCTACTAGAGCTTATGCGATAGTAATGCGTCCGTCTGTCTGTCTAGCTGTCTGTCTGTCTGTAAAAATTTTTTCAAAATGCTACTCCTCCTACAGTTTTGGTCTGATTTCACTAAGATACATAATTCTATGTATCGGTTTTTGGTTTCGATGAATGGTGTTGTGGTTACTAAAAAAAGAAATTTCTGTGAAATATTTTCAAAATGCTACTCCTCCTACAGTTTTGGTCTGATTACAATATCACTTGGAACACAAGTAGACTACACTATGATACGTAATTCTGTTTATCGGTTTTTGATTTTGATGAATGGTGTTGCCGTGGTTACTAAAAAATAAAAATTTCTTTGCAATACTTTTAAAATGCTACTCACTCCTCCTACAGTTTTGGTCTGATTTCAGTATAACTTGGCACACAAGCAGACTACACTAAGATACATAACTCTTTATATCATTTTTTGATTTCGATGAACTACGTTGCCGTGGTTAACTAAAAATAGAAATTTCTGTGAAATACTTTCAAAATGCTACTCCATGTACAGTTTTAGACTGATTATAATATAATTTGGCATGCAAGTAGATTACACTGAGATACATAATGATCAGTTTTGTGTTTTTTAATTTCAATTGAGTGATGTAGCAATAGTATTTAAAATTGGAAATTCTTTAGAATTTTATTAAAACTAAAAGCTACTCCCACAGTTTTAGTTTTATTGCAATCTTACCACGAAAAGAGATTTAATCAAGGATCATTATTCTATTTATTGTTTTTGTAAAGTTTTAAATCCCAACAGCTACTTTTCTCTTCCTTTATTATAAGTACAAACCGCAAAGATTCAGTCTCGACAGAGACTTCTGGTTTAAAAACATCAACTTTGGTGATAATTTCTAAATAACATTTAATATGGCGTTCATATTTGACATCTCACCCACAAAGACACTGAAAGCGGGGGACCACAATTCTTGGAATTTGCTTGTTAATGCAGTGTCTCGAATAGCACTTGTTTTCCAGCTTCTCACAATGAAACTATGAGATGAAATGTGGTCGCATAGACTGTAATCAATTCATTAAAGATTAAACCATGAGAGAAAATCAAGCTTTATGTCATATGATTTCTATATTGTATGTGATAGAGCTCAAGGCATTATTTATTGAACAGTCCTCGTAAGAATGAACATAAGAATTCGAATGGTATTGCTGATTGCCTTGAGAGCGTTAATTATTACCTTGACCCATATAAGATAAATAAAAGGAATCAATGGCAGGGTAAATACGTTATAATTCGTACATGAAGAAGATGTCAAAATATTTATGAAAAGAAAAATAATATTGTAAGTTCTGTTGTTGAGTTTTATTTTCAAATTTCTGAAAAAGCATTGCTATTTTTTTAAAACAGGTTTTATACAAAACTTTTCGATTTTTATGTTTCTGATATAGGCTTTTTTTTTTTGCAGATTGTGCTTCCCACCTGAATCATGGCTTTCCAAAACAACACAACTGAATTAAATTACACGTATGGTTGGATAAATTCAAATCGAGGATCTGTAGCTGAAATATTTGGAATGATTTGCACAAAATACATAGCACCTCCCATCTGTGTTTTTGGAATACTAGGTAATTCTTTCAGCCTTGTAGTCTTGTTGCGGAAGTCTCTAAAACAATCCCCATATATCAATTTGAAGGCTCTGACCATTGTTAATCTATTGGCTTTACTTCTTTCTTTTCCCTACATGATATACGGAGAAAATTCAAGAGAATATGGATGGATGTGGTACAACATCTACATTTTCATTCCTTTTGTCAGCTTTCTAACTGCCACTAGTATTTGGATTGTTGTACTGATGACCATTGAACGCTTTATGTATGTGAAATTTCCTCTTCGCGCAAAAGGACAATGTGGTCGAACAGGAACCATAACTCGAATATTTATCCTATCATTGTTATCATTTATTATATCGATTCATAAATTTTTCCAGTATGAACTAGATTCTGTCAAGGTAAGATACAAGAAGACTTCATTTACAAAAAGTGAAATGTCGCACGTTATTGAAATAACTATAATGGTGATTATTCATTTCATACCGTTAATGGTTTTAGTGGTTGTGAACACATTGTTAGTGAGCACAGTACGTCGGGCCAGGACCCGGAGGTTGACTTTGAACCTGCGCAATAACCAGGAGGGAGGTTGGCAGAAGGACGAGAGGCGCTTTACTGTCACACTCGTCAGCATAGTGATTCTGAACATCTGTTTTATTGGACCAACAACCATCACAGACATACTGTATTTAAGCACAATCCACCGACACAATAACGATATAATAACGACTATTTCAGTCTTGCGTCAGTTTTCAAATGTTCTCTTATGGTGTTGCCTGTCGTTTAATTTTGTGCTGTTTTGTACTTTTAATAAGAGGTTTTTACAGGCTGTGAAAGACACTTTACAGTTCCATAGATTTCACAGATTTCGAAGGAACCGTTCTATGAAATCGTCAGAGATGACGTTTTTGCGTTCAACAAACTTCGACAGCTAATCATTCATTCCCAATTGAGATTTTAATAAATATGATAATTAAACGATACTATTATCTTTGTTAGCTGCTTTTTTACATATTTTTATACGCTATCCATTGCACCACGTTTCACTACAGCTGGTACGATATTATCTTTTAACCATTCAATTCCACATATGCTGGACTTTAAATTTTCTAATGTGTAATGGATCTAAAATCAACATAATCTATATTAGAAGAATAATAGGTAAATAACTATTTTATTGTATTTCTTCGCATTGTCAATCATCCTCACCATGTCATTGCAAGGTTTTGTGATTTTGGAATTCCACAGTTCCGAAATCAGAAAAAAACTTCAATTATTTAAATCATACATCTCGCATGGCTTCAACACGCCCCTTGTTTATTTTGTTCCTTCATGACAAACTTATTAAAGGTATCTTCCTTCAGATGGCAATCCTTTTTTTTCAATTCCAAAGACTTTGAATATTTTTTTACTGAAAAAATATATATTAAATGATGAACCAGAGCAATTTCAAGCGAAGAAATACCTCGCGAAAAAAATTACTTACAATTACTTTTGATAACTAGGATATAAATTTTCTTTAACGTAAAAGCAAAACAGTCACGTACGAAGTCGACAAAATGATCAATGAATTTATTTATTTACTACTGCAATCAACGCTGACAAATAGATGCGTGTACTGTAACAGTTAGCTCTGAGACAAATCGCACGAAAGCTATATTACTGATTTACTGTAAAACAATATTTCTGGGTGATGACTGGCCGCCGACCCTGATAAAATGTCGCCTTCATTAACATTTCTTACTCGCACATCAAATTCGAGTCGTAAAAAAGGATATGTTCTGAGGAACATCAAATTTTTGAAATACTCAAGGCTTGCAACTATGGAATCCGGATAGGGACATGCAATTCACTATCGCATCACCGCACCATCGAGGTTTAGGTCAGTGGTGCAATGGTGCGATAACGATGAAGCGATAGCGTGATGACTTTGATGCGATGGCGCGACAATTCGATGACGATGGAGTGATAGCGATGACACGATAGTGCAATGACGAGGAAGCGATATTCATTATCGCTTCATCGTGCTATCGCACCATCGTCAATCCCATTGTCGCGCCGTCGCTTCATCGTCATCGTAAAATCGCTTCATCGACTTTTAAGTCGATGCTTGATGGTGCGATAGTGAACTGCATGGCCCTATCCGGATTCCATAGAAAACCGCCAATTTTATTTTAAACAATCGAGCATTACATGCACAATAGTTTGCGCACCGTTTTCACAACAAAGCACATGTTAATATATAGAACTTGGGGAAAACTTGCAACATTCTGCGTCCCATTTTATGAGAATATTTTCATGAGGTACAAAAGTCAATATGGAACAAAATTTTAATGTTTGAATAAAGCGTCATCCGGCGTTAAAAAACTATGTAAAACTTTTTAAAAAATTATATGTAGAGGTATACATATGTAGAGGTATACAAATATATTTTTATCTAATTTAAATGAAACGGGGGATTACGAAGAGTACAATAGTTCACAGAAAAAATACAAATCAAGAGCAGAGCAAACTCAGACCTGTAAAAGGTTAGAAAATAGATCCGGGCCCATGGAGAAGGTAGAATCCTCTGTCGGCTGGTCAAGCCCGCCGTGTGCTCCTTGTCTTCATGAGTAAACAGTAAAAATTGTAGAAAACTCAATTTGATATAATGACCTAACGATTTTTACGAAGAAAAAAAAAACGATTGTCAGCATTCGACTAATGATTGTATGCTGAAAAAGATTGCGGTATCGGTCGTAAAATTTGCGAAATGATGACTGTAAACGAGAATAATTAAATTTTGGTTGTAACGCACCATTTGATCGCATAGAAAATTATCCAAATTGTAAAATCTGTCGATGATGGCTTGTCTTGTTTGCTCTTGCTTATGAAATAGACTGAAAGAAATAAAATTCATAGAACTTTGCTACACACATATGGGAAGCTGACCACATGAAAGTTTAACTTATCACCTTTAATAAATTTTTATTAGGTTACAATTATTTTTTTCTTAATATCCAACCATGAATTAGATGCATCAATTGCAGACTCTTGGGTTTGTTTTGTTAATTTGAGTTCAAAGGGATATATCAAATCAAAGTAGGAATATAAATGAGCATCAATAATAAAACGTCGTCGATATAATTTAAATGTTGAATTAAAGGCCATCGCAAGAGACTTCGTCGTTTCAATTCAAAGTGTTTGAATAAAGTCTGGTTCATTGTCTGCTGTAAATGGGGCGATATTGATACCCATTAGAATTCAGTCGTTTTTATTGATTTTACATATATGAGCAATTACATGTAGTTGAAAGGCAAGTAATTTTATAACCATTTAATCGGACACATACTTCTTTTTTTCCCATAGCAAAACGTTGACACTGCCATTTTTTCTATAATACTTAAGGATACCCATCTCTTATCCGCAACTCCTCCTATACCACTGAATTGAATTTAATGATACTATCACAGATTCTTTATACCATAATGCCATTATGACCTCCTATTTTACTTTCTGATCTAACACTTTTTTCCGCGTCTCCCAGAGCAAAACATGCAATTTGGCATTATAATCATATGTTACGTCCGTCCGTCTGTCTGTTACGCTTTGGGGTACCCATCTCTTATCCGCAACTCCTCTCATACAACTGAATTAAATTTGATGAATATTTCACAGAATCTTTATTACATATTTCCATTGTGCACCTCCTATTTTACTTTTTGATCTGACACATATTTTGGGTTTGCCACATCAATTTTACCACATCAAAACATGGACACTCCCATTATATTCATATGGGAGACGGGGGTATCATTCATTGCTCACAGTACCTCTAGTTATACCCCCCGCTTGAAAAGTGGGAGGTTATACTGTAATCGGTATGTCCGTCTGTCTGTTACGCTTTGAGGTAGCCATCTCTTATCCGCAACTCCTCTTATACCACTGAGTGAACCAGAAGTCTCTGTCGAGACTGAAGCTCTACTGGTTTGTACTTATAGCAAAGGAAGAGAAAAGTACTTAAGCAGTTGGAAATTGAAACTTTTCAACAGCAATAAATAGAATAATGATCCTTGATTAAGTCTCTTTATGCTCTTAGTGCAGTCTACTTGCATGCCACATTTATATTATAATCAGACTAAAACTGTAGGAGGAGTAGCATTTTGAAAGAATTTCACAGAATTTTCTATTTTTAGTAACCACGGCAACACCTTCATTGAAATCAAAAACTGATATACAGAATTATGTATCTTATTGTAGTCTACTTGTGTGCCAAGTTATATTGAAATCAGACTAAAACTGTAGAAGGAGTAGCATTTTGAAAGAATTTCACAGAAATTTCTATTTTTAGTAACCACGGCAACACTGTTCATCGAAATCAAAAACCGATACTCAGAATTGTGTATCTTAGTGTAGTCTACTTGTGTGCCAAATTATATTGAAATCAGACTAAAACTGTAGGAGGAGTAGCATTTTGAAAGAATTTCACAGAATTTTCTATTTTTAGTGACCACGTCAACATCGTTCATTGAAATCAAAAACTAATACACAGAATTGTGTACCTTAGTGTAGTCTACTTGTGTGCCAAGTTATACTGAAATCAGACTAAAACTGTAGAAGGAGTAGCATTTTGAAAAAATTTCACAGAAATTTCTCTTTTTTAGTAACCACGGCAACACCGTTCATCGAAATCAAAAACTGATACACAGAATTATGTATCTTATTGTAGTCTACTTGTGTGCCACATTTATATTATAATCAGACTAAAATTATATTTGGAGTAGCATTTTGAAAGAATTTCACAGAAATTTCTATTTTTAGTAACCACGGCAACACCGTTCATCGAAATCAAAAACTGATATACAGAATTATGTATCTTATTGTAGTCTACTTGTGTGCCAAGTTATATTGAAATCAGACTAAAACTGTAGAAGGAGTAGCATTTTGAAAGAATTTCACAAAAATTTCTATTTTTAGTAACCACGGCAACACCGTTCATTGAAATCAAAAACTGATATACAGAATTATGTATCTTATTGTAGTCTACTTGTGTGCCAAGTTATATTGAAATCAGACTAAAACTGTAGAAGGAGTAGCATTTTGAAAGAATTTCATAGAAATTTCTATTTTTAGTAACCACTGCAACACTGTTCATCGAAATCGAAAACCGATACACAGAATTGTGTATCTTAGTGTAGTCTACTTGTGTGCCAAGTTATATTGTAATCAGACCAAAACTGTAGGAGGAGTAGCATTTTGAAAAATTGTTTACAGACAGACAGACGGACAGACAGACAGACAGACAGACAGACAGACAGACGGACGGACGACGGACGCATTACTATCGCATAAGCTCTTCTGGTCTCTGACCAGTAGAGCTAAAAATGAAACTTTCACAGAATCTTTATTACATATTGCCATTGTGCACCTCATATTTTATTTTTTGATCCGACACATATTTTGGGTTTCCCGGCCACAGCAAAACATGGACTTCGCCATTATAATCATATAGGAGGCGGGAGTATCATTTAGTGAGCTCATTGCTCACAGTACCTCTAGTTTTCATTAAAATTGGGAGACTATTATTTTCACACTGAATTGTCAACAAACTACTTTTATTCCCGATCATGACAAAGAGTACAAGGTGGTTGTGACCGAACGACAAGGGGTGCTTTTCAAAGGCGGATCCAGCCCCCCCCCCCCCCCGTTGGATTTTTTTTATACACCCCGCTTGAAAAGCGGGAGGGTATATAGAAATCGGTATGTCCGTCCGTCTGTCTGTCTATTACGCTTTGGGGTACCCATCTCTTATCCACTCCTTTCATACCACTAAATGAAATTTGATGAAACTTTCACAGAAACTTTATTATATATTGCCATTGTGCACCTCCTATTTTACTATTTGATCCGATACATATTTTGGGTTTCCCACAACAAAACATGGACACACCCATTATATTTATATGGGAGGACGGGGGTATCATTTAGTGAGCTCATTGCTCAC